GTATTACTGGTATTACAATTTAAAATAATGGTTTTCTGTTTTAATATACTTTAAAATATAATGCTTTTGTGTGATGCAAAGCTGAATTTTGAACATCATTACTCCAGTCTTCAGTGTCACATGATTCTTCAGAAATCATTGTAATACGCTTATTTATAATCAATTTTGAACAGTTGTGCTGTTTAATATATTTTTTTATTACCTGTGATTCTTTTTTCAGGATTCTTTGATGAATAAAGTGTTAAAAAAAAAGAACAGAGTTTCTTTAAAATAGCAATCCTTTTTTAACAATTCACTACCATTCAAAAGTTTGGGGTCAGTATCTTTTCTCTTTTTTTGAAATAAATTAATACTTTTAATCAACAAGGATGTGTTAAATTAATAAAAAGTAATAGTAAAGACTTATATTGTTAGAAAAGATTTCTATTTTGAATAAACACTGTTCACAAGTGTTCATTCATCAATAAATCCTGAAAAAAGCATCACAGATTCCCCCCAAAAATGTCATTTTTAAAATTTGTATTAGTTTGCATTAGGGATGTGCTGATACGAGTATCGGTACAGAACGGTTCACTGGGCAAATTCCAAATGGAAGTGAACACATCCCTAGTTTGCATGCATGTGAGCCTATGATCAAACAAAATGTTTATATTTATGTTTGTATATGATAGATGATTTTATACATTTCCCCAAATTTTCAATTAATTCCCATAAATTACCAAAAATTCCCGTAATTTATAGATTTCCATAAATTTACCGGAAATTTTCCGCCCCTTTGCAACCCTACTTCCTACACACTGGAGCAGCCCTCAAAATGTCTGAACAGCAATGTCAATCTGAACAGCTAAGTACTTATAGCAACTTAAGCCATTTCAAGTAATCCAACAGTGACTAGTTGGCTTTTTCATTGTAATTGTTTATTTTTTTTGCAAATATTTATTTACTTCACTAGTAGCTAGTCATTACATACTTGACCCAACTACTTATTCCATTGATGACTACTAATATGAATAAGTCACTACTAGTACATATTAATTAGTTATCAGTACTTATTCCTTTGTTACTAGTCGCTGTCTCATGACGAGTAACTACTCCAATGTTTCTGGTAACAAATTGGAACAAAACATCGCCACTGAATTCTATGGGAATTTGTCGTTCAGATGTAAGCCATTTATTTCTGACGAATGAATTCAAAATTCTAAATGTTTAGTACTAATGTCTTAGTTACTACTGACTATTTTAAGGGTTAACGTTACTAATATCTGTTCCAGTTTTCTTAATGACAACTGAATATTAGTCCCTGTTTATTAGACGGTAATATATAGTCCAACTGCTGTAACATTTTTAACTAGTAGTCATATTTTATTGTACCTATAAAGCAGACATTTTGACTAATAATTACATTCGCACAGTAAAAAAAAACTGCAAGTAGTGACATAAGGAATGTTACTAGTAACACTGGGATAGATAACTAATGTCTCATTAATCTGTACTAGGATGGAGTAGACTAGAATGAACACAAGAACCTGAATAACCGACTGCATTAGTTAACATGAACCAACAGTGAAAATACTTCCTAAATCTTGCTTAACAGTAATTTCAACGTATTAATACAAAAGTTGTATTACTCAGTATTACTGAATGGACTTACACTAACATGAACCAACAATGAATAGTTGTATTTTATTAACGTCAACAGAAAGTAATAGCCTAATGTATTGCTCATTGGAAGTTAATATTTGATTAACGTAGCCTACTTCTTAGTAAATGACAGAATAAGTAGTAATACAATCATACATAGGCTACTAGTTCGCTTTAAAAGGGTAAATTTGATATAACGGCATGTGATACATGCCTTTGACTGTGTCCGTGTACGATTTTTTTTACAAGAAATTTTATGGACGCTTGAAAAAAAAGTCGAATTCCCGTATTGAAACACTGCTCCTGTTTAACCTCTTGTGTGTCTTTCTGCTTAACACTGACACCAGAAAAGCAGTCTGCTACAGAAGAGCCCAAGAAACCGGGAGGCGGTGATAATTATGCGGGTTAGATGTTAGCTGTAGGATTTAAATGGTTTTACCTTCTCTCGTTTCGACAGCGCACTGCACGATAGGAGAGACCGCTGAGTCCTTTCGCTTCGTCCCGGTGCAGATCTGAGGCTCCACGCGCTGGAAAAAATGTGATCTTCAGATCGTAGTACCTCAGAAATTAATCCCAAACATGATCGAGCGGAGAGCTGGCCTGAAATACAGCGCTTTTCTCTAATTCCGCTGTCTCGCTCCGAGGGGAATGTTAACCCGTTAGTTTAGTGGGCGCGGGGCGGCCTGTTCGCTGGTAATTATGGGGTAAATTGGCCGAAGATCGAGGACAGTCCGTCCACGGGATGAGCGCTGCGCTCCGGCTGAAAGCACTGAGTGAGCGCCGCTACTCGGTCTAACGGAGACGGAGCATCTGAAGAGACCCGCCCACTCTGTGAACCCGGAAGAGAACTGTCAATGCATTGGCATTAATGGCTTCTGTTGCACAAACGTGGGAGAGCCATGGGTGGACAGTGGAAATATTATTATCAGCCATCTAACTGTCTGTCTGACTAAATAAATAAAACATTGAAGAAAAATCTGCAGAGTTTCTCTTCTGAAAGTGAGAGAGCTTTATTTCTTTGCTAACCAAGCCAATGCAGACCTCCCAGATGCTGTTGTGCTTAGATAAATACATGATGGTTATCCAGCTTTATTCATGATATATTCATGATATAATTCTGATTTATGAACTGCATTGGCCCAACAAAATGCAAAATGACCTAGGCCGATGAGGAAACTCAACACTTTTGTTTTGCATGAACAATGTTGACAGTGTTGTTTGATGTTTTGCGTGAACAACACCAGAAGTGTGATACATCAATCAAACACTGGTCCGAATACTGTATTAGGTATATTATCAAGTTATAGGTGAATTTGCACTAAAATAGTGTTGATCATATGCACAGCCCTTGACATCAATAACAAAAGCATTTTAACATCTTAATTTTGCTTTCCTAACTATGTAAGTATATTTATATGACCATTGCATTTTTTAATGTAGCATTGTTATTGCCTTCCTGCATACCCCATCAGAGTAGACCTGTGTTTTTTTTTGTTTGTTTGTTTGTTTTTTTGGTGCATTTGGGCACCATTTGAGACCACTGGTAATTATTACAGGTAAGGCTAGTTTTATGTTGTCATATGGATCAACTATTGGAACATTTTGGTCAATATGTTTATCCTTTTGTTAAAGTGATACTTTTCATTGCTTATATAACTTTACATAATGTCACCCATCATTCTACCTCTACCACTTTGTTTTGCACTGCTTAGATATAAACTGCTCCATAATGTTGACATCCTGTAGTGAGATTATTTCTGTACTTTGGAAAAAACACACACTCACTTCCTGGTTTGAGAAAAATGCAAAATGGCAACATCAACATGACCCTTGCCCTATGTGCTTGGCAGCTGTAAAAATCTTCCAGATAATTATTTGATTCATCATAATTCTTAGTGTTAATGTTTTTCTAGAAAAAAATCAGGTTCTTCACTCTATTTTATGTTTATTATATTATTAATATTTTTTAAAGTCGCTTCAGAATTTAGCTTGTTTTAGTATGAATGAATATATTCCTTAAGTGTGCTTGTTTGAATTTGCTTATGCTTTAGTAATGCAATAATATATCTTTGTGGAAAATAACAGTGCCATATCTAGTTCTATTAAAAGCACATACACTATAATATTATTTGTCAAAACTTGCCTGACACTATATATTTTGTCTCCTTTTTTCTTCTTTCTTTCTTTCTTTCTTTTTTCTGCTTTTTGTGCATTTGTTTCAGAGACTAACAGTAGCACACACACATACACACACACACATGTTTGTTTCTGTGAATTGTGGGGACTTTCTATAGACTTCTATTACTTTTATACTGACCAAACTATATTTTCTATCCCCTAACCCAACCCTGACCCTAAACCTACCCCTTACAGAAAATCTGTTTGCATTGTTACACTTTCAGATAAACATCATTTACTATTTTTAATCATTTTTTTCCCTCGTAGGGACTGCAGGCCGGTCCCCACAATGTCAAAAAATTCAGGTTTCACTATCCTTGTGGGGACATTTGGTCTCCACAATGTAGCATAAACAAGTACACACACACACACACACACACACACACACACACAGAGAGAGAGAGAGCTGACATCTCGCAGTATTCAGTTGTGTATTTCAGGTTTATTGAGTGACTTTCTAAACAATGACCCAGGAAAAAGCCCAATTTCATTTATTGCATTTTAAGTTTGACTGATAAAATTTTCATGGTTGTTTGCAACTGAACCTCAACACAGAATCTCCATCTATAGTTTATTTATGTATTGCATGCAGCCACTTGTAGCAACATCGTCTTGATTACATATAAATGAGACATCAAGTGTGTTCAGTGCGTTCTTTGCCCCATTCCTCTCTCAACCTTTTATAAAAACAGTAACTCAGCCATAGTACAGCCAAAACACTACAGCAGGACTAAATTGAGGTGAATCAAACAGATGTATTCAGGTCAACTTCCAAGAGAGGATGCAGACCCAGCACTATAGCAGGAAGGAGGAGCGCTGTCCCTTCTTATCAGTGGCCGCCTGCAACATCTCAGTTGTTTTCTTCAAGGAAGAGGAGTGTTTGTGTGTGTGGGGCGGGGGTAATAGTGATAATTATCGAGCAATGTTCACAGGATACAGGATAAACTGTGGGAAAGTTTTATTCACTGTAAAACAGCAGAAATGCCAGAGATGATCTGAACTTTACTTTGAATTTCTGAGACTTCAAGTAAACAGCCATTATAATCAGAAGAAGAGTTTTCTTCACGTAAATTACTTTTTTATTTTTTATTTATTATTAATGTTATTATTTTTTGTGTGGTAGATAATGGCACAACAGAGAAAAACAAGAATCACTTCGGGAAGAGGGTGGAGTTTCTGATGGTGTAGACTGGATTTACAGTGCTGTGAAAAGTATTTGCCTGATTTCAGAAATAAAAACAAATCTCACACAAACCAAAGACAACCTGAGTAAACACAAAATATAGTTCTTAAATGATAATGTTACTTATCAAGGCAAAAAAGTTATCCAATATCAAATAACCCTTTGTGGAAATGTATTTGCCCCCATAGTTCTATGAAACAGCATTTATAATGGGGATCAGCTAAACTAATGGGACCAAGCCTGATTCCTGCCAGCCAGGGCAGTGTAGAGTAGCGCTTGTTGTTTGTCGTTTCTCCGATCACAAATGCAGACATGGTTTTATGTTTACGCGGCGCGATACGGGCCCCACAATGTAGCATAAACAAGTACACACACACACACACACACACACACACACACACAGAGAGAGAGAGAGCTGACATCTCGCAGTATTCAGTTGTGTATTTCAGGTTTATTGAGTGACTTTCTAAACAATGACCCAGGAAAAAGCCCAATTTCATTTATTGCATTTTAAGTTTGACTGATAAAATTTTCATGGTTGTTTGCAACTGAACCTCAACACAGAATCTCCATCTATAGTTTATTTATGTATTGCATGCAGCCACTTGTAGCAACATCGTCTTGATTACATATAAATGAGACATCAAGTGTGTTCAGTGCGTTCTTTGCCCCATTCCTCTCTCAACCTTTTATAAAAACAGTAACTCAGCCATAGTACAGCCAAAACACTACAGCAGGACTAAATTGAGGTGAATCAAACAGATGTATTCAGGTCAACTTCCAAGAGAGGATGCAGACCCAGCACTATAGCAGGAAGGAGGAGCGCTGTCCCTTCTTATCAGTGGCCGCCTGCAACATCTCAGTTGTTTTCTTCAAGGAAGAGGAGTGTTTGTGTGTGTGGGGCGGGGGTAATAGTGATAATTATCGAGCAATGTTCACAGGATACAGGATAAACTGTGGGAAAGTTTTATTCACTGTAAAACAGCAGAAATGCCAGAGATGATCTGAACTTTACTTTGAATTTCTGAGACTTCAAGTAAACAGCCATTATAATCAGAAGAAGAGTTTTCTTCACGTAAATTACTTTTTTATTTTTTATTTATTATTAATGTTATTATTTTTTGTGTGGTAGATAATGGCACAACAGAGAAAAACAAGAATCACTTCGGGAAGAGGGTGGAGTTTCTGATGGTGTAGACTGGATTTACAGTGCTGTGAAAAGTATTTGCCTGATTTCAGAAATAAAAACAAATCTCACACAAACCAAAGACAACCTGAGTAAACACAAAATATAGTTCTTAAATGATAATGTTACTTATCAAGGCAAAAAAGTTATCCAATATCAAATAACCCTTTGTGGAAATGTATTTGCCCCCATAGTTCTATGAAACAGCATTTATAATGGGGATCAGCTAAACTAATGGGACCAAGCCTGATTCCTGCCAGCCAGGGCAGTGTAGAGTAGCGCTTGTTGTTTGTCGTTTCTCCGATCACAAATGCAGACATGGTTTTATGTTTACGCGGCGCGATACGCAACACAACGAATAAAAACACCGTATAAGTCATTATAATCAGTAATTATGTCCCCACTGGATGCAACAACTGCCTCGTTTGTAATGGGTTTTATTGGTTTTGTCTTGTTGTGCCGGGTGACGGCATCACAGTATGTTGTTGAGGGGTGTAACATTTCCGTCACACGCTTGAGGTATTCAGCCAATCACAACGCACTGGATAGCTGGCCAATCAGCGTACACCTCATTTTTCAGACCGATGAGCTTTGTAAAAATTGACGCGTTTCAGAAAGGTGGGGCATAGCAACAATAATGTACATTATGTGGAAAATAATGTGTTTTTTTAACCTTAAACCGCATAAACACATTGCATTACACCAAATGCACAACATAATGTTCTTTTAAGCAACATCATATGACCCCTTTAAATCAACACTTAAAACTTTTTCATCAAGAAGTTGGTTAAAGGTCTTCCTCAATAGCACACTATGCCAAAGTGAAAGAATTACCAGAAATGATGAGAAAGAAGATGACTTGAATACATCAGTCCGGAAAGGCATACAAAGCTATTTCAACGGCTCTGGGACTCAAAAGAACCAGAGCCATTATCTCAACAATTGCATTTACATACAGGCCCCAGCCAGGATCGCGACCCCTGGTTTACAAGACCAGTGCTCTAACCACTGAGCTATGGAGCCTCACCTGATGGTTATCACTCATGTAAGTGACATAAAGAGCTCACTTTGAGCTAGCACAACAAAGACACACCTATGGGTGTGGGCAGAGAGCCTGAGATGTCTTAACAGATTCATCAATGGTTTGAGGAAAAAGTCAAAGCTTAGGGTGTGAATCTCTTGGGGAAGTGGCTTGAGTAGTTGGTGGGGCCTTTTAATAGTTGTAATACACAATCCCTGCACATTTATGCATATTCTT